GATGTTTGCGAAGCCTCAACCTCTACCAAAGAAAGAGGGAGAGGTGCCGGCACGAGAGGATCCTTACTGTAGATACCATCAGGATTATGGACATTGGACGAACAATTGTAAGGAGCTCAAGGACGAGATAGAGAGGCTCATAAGAGAGGGTACTTGAAGGAGTTTGTGGTTCATAATAGGGAGAAAGAGCTCCTAAAATGGGGGTAATCCACATGATAGCTGGGTGGCCGACAGATGGTGACTCAAATGGTGCTATGCGAGCTAACTTGAGGGCTGATTAGGACAGTGTAACGGATGTTAAATTTGCTCAGACTATGCCGGAATTGAAGTTTGGTGCAGGGGATGCCCAAGGAGTGTTGGTGCCTCACAATAATGCTCTAGTGGTGACAGAAGAGATTGCGTGGTATGATGTGGAGAGAATACTTGTGGATACAGGGAGCTTTGCAGATATCATGTTTTATGAGTGTTTTAACCAGATGGACCTAGGTGTTGAGATCACACCTATCAAGACATCGTTGTTTGGCTTTAGCGGGGCGGAAGTGATACCTCTGGCGGAGGTACAATTGACAATGGCGTTGGGAGCTCCTCCTTTGAGAAAGGTGAAGATGGTGGAGGCGAAGTCAGCTTATAATGTCATATTGAGGCGGCCTAGCTTGAACTCTTTCCAGGCGACGATGTCCTCATATGGTATAAAGATGAAGTTCCCGGTGGAAGAGCTAGTGGGTGAGGTCGCGGGGGACCAGCGATTGGCTAAGGTATGTTACCAAACGATGTTGAAGGTGGGTAATAAGAAGAAGGGCAGAGACGAGAGCTTGAGCACAGTTATGGAGGAGAGCTCGAGCAAGGGCAAGGAGGCCAGAACAGATGATCTCACAAGATGAAGTAATGGAGCGGATGTGCTGAAGCTTGCGAGAAAATTGAAGCTAGATGGTAACTAATCTCAAGGAGTATTATTGTTACTGTGATTGTAACTCTGAGCTGTTTTTGAAACACTTATGATTTGATTATTAAATTAAGGTTAACTTTGGGTTCTTTTTGAAAAACTTGTGATTTGGTTTTTGAAAAATTCCAAGGTCTTTCCGAGGCCTTGGAATTTTATTTTTTTTTTTTAAAAAAAAAAAATAAATAAAGCACCCTAAATCTGATACCAAAAATAAAATAAAATTTAAATATATAAAAAAATATTAAAACAAATTAAATTTATATAAACGGAAAATTTCACTTTGGTACCCCAAGTTTACATACTTTTCGGTTTTGATACCCATGATTTCAACTTAATCATTTCCAGTCACTCAAGTATTCAAAATCCATCATTATTGCCCAAATCGTTAGTTGACCGTGAGTCAACTGACGGTCACCTTCTCTAGCAGGTCGTCTTCTTCTGCAAGATAGAAAATGGCAGGCATCTCCATTACAACACCACAAAGCCGCCGAAAATGAGGGAAAAAAATTGAAGTATTTGCAATTTTGCACCATGAGCAGTTCAAGAGGAAGTTGGAACTCTCGCTGGAACTCCGAGATTAATGGTGCTCCAATGGAGATGGCCTGCAATTGTGGAGAAAAAGTCTACTTGAAGACCCCTAATTTGTTCAACTGAAAAAAAAAAACCCTAATTTTTAGGGTACTCTCACCACAATCATATAATATGGATACATCAAAATTAACAATATATTTTCCATTGAAAAAGAGTATGCATCTATCACGGATAATGGAAAAAGCCCTAATTTATTCAACTGAAAAAAACCCTAATTTTTTGGGGAACTCTCACCATAATCAGATAATATGGACATCCCTCAAAATTAACCATATAATTTCCATTAATTCAAAAATTTGATGACAAACTGAAGTGAAAAAACTTACCGTATTGAGGTTGCAACCCACGTATAATCCTTCTTGCAATGTTACATGGGCTGTCGCAGTTCTAAATATGCTCGTCGCAAATCTAAATATGCCTGTAGTAAATCTGATATGGATGCTCACAATACACCAATACACCACTCGATTGCCCACTCAATTGCGATAAATGAAAGAAATTTCTACAAGTAAAATGTTAGCGTTTTTTTAATTTCAATTAGGTCTGGACGAGGAGAAATTAGGGGAAACCGATTATTTAGGTTTATTTGGAGAAAGCAACCGGCTATAGAAGGTGACCCTCAATTGACTCACGGTCAACTGACGATTTGGGCAATAATGATGGATTTTGAATATTTGAGTGACTGAAAATGATTAAGTTGAAATCATGGGTATCAAAACCGAAAAGTATGTAAACTTGGGGTACCAAAAGTGAAATTTTCCCTTTATATAAATTTCATATTTTTTGCACTTATGTAAAATCTAGGGAAAATAATTTTTGCGTATAGATATGCACTACGATTTGGAGAAAAAATACCCAAATTTGATAACCTAATTTGGAACCTTCTTCCAAGTTTGGACACCGCCGTGCCGCCGTAGTATTCCACCACCAGCACCTTCCCCTCGTTTGACCTTTCGTCCAAGCCACCGCCTCTACATAATGCTGCTCACCACTCTCAACCCTCATTGCTAAGTCCTTGTATGGCGGCAATTCCAATTTATCTCAAATACTCATCCGAACCTTTTACCCCTTTCCACCTCCAATGGCCACCGACGCCCCCGCGAAATTCCAGAAGCCAGAGCTGATCCCGGTCCCGCATCACCACACGGAGCACCACCCGGAGACCTCGGCCGCCGCGGTGTCGGCCCACGACGGGCTCCACTTCTGGAAGTTCATGATCGGCGGCTCGATCGCCGGCATGGCGGTGCATATGGCGATGTTCCAACATGATTAATGATTTCGATCTGGGTGGTCGCTTGTTTTTGAACAATACTAGAGATGGGTTGATAAACTCCTCGATAACAAAAATCAGAGCAAAATTTGAGATTGCTGGGGCTGCCTTTTTCAACCTTGGACTGCCAACATGCCCCTTTTATTCTGGTATGGGCTCGACCTGACGTGATTGGAATACTGGGATGAAATCGGAGCAAAATTTGAGCTTAAGGTTGTCGGCCATATATTCGACCAATTTGGATGGCCAAGTCCATGTCGGCGTCCATATTGGCCTCCACTTCTTCTATCTCCTTCCATAAATCCGCATTCTGGCGGTTCTCGTCGCAGGTTGTCGGCAGTAAGCTTATCGTCTCTTTCTTAAAGTCCTTCAAATCATTATAAAGATCCTCTCATAGGACGGGCTGGTCGATTTTGTGTCCTCGTTGAGTATGGGGACGAGAGTGACAAGCAGCTACAAATAAAACAAGAAAATCCAGGATTAGAAGTTGGGAATACTCATTTCATCTGCATGACTGCCAGAGAAAGCAGATATACCAGAGTCGAAGCTGCTCCGGTCGCATATGATTCTCCCTTGGACATAAAAAGTAAAAATGGGTCGGCCCATCTTTCCCCGCCCAAGAGTTTGTGTAGTATTTTCGGGTTGAAAATGGGTCGGGTCGAACAGGAGAACAACTGTATGGGTAAGGGTTTTGTGATTTCAAGGGAAGGGGATTTTCTCAGTTGATTTGTTTTGCTTTTACAACAGCCGCTGCCCTTTCTTCTCTGTAGAGGAAGAAAGATCCAATTTTGTGCTTCGAATTTGTATCAGCAAAGACCACACCAGCAAAAAATGGCAGCCTTTGTTCCTCCATCTCCTGCCGCGGCGACGACCCTACCGGCGGCCGGTTCTACCCCGACCACCGCCGACAAGACAAAAGTGGACTACTTGAATCTCCCCTGCCCCATTGCGTACGAAGAAATCCACCGCGATGCCCTCAGTTAGTGTTTCTCCCGTTCGATTCTCTTTTGTGGGTTCTTTCTAGTTAATCGTTTCAATGGTTTCTGTGCATTTGCTTGAACTGTTGTTCTTATTTACGTGGAAGGCGGCCTTCTTGATTGGTTAATTGGAGCCTGGAGCTTGATTTTGTTTATCAGTATTGGTATCTATTTTGGCGTTTGTGGGTGTATTCTGCTGTAAAACCCTACTTGAAGTAAATTTATTTTGGAAGAATCTGTTGAACCCATTGTGCTTCTGTTTCACTATGTAAAGACTGGTCACATTTTTGATAATCCGTGGAAGCTAGCAGAGTATCCCCAGATTGTATGATTTTGCATGATCATCCTTACATGTTCAGTTTAGTTCTAGAATTCTTTTTACTTTCTGCTCTATAGAATTATAGAATGATGAAGTTCAGCCTGAAAAATATAACCCCAAACTCCGCCATTTACGTTAAATCCATTTGCTACAGGTTAAGTAAAATGATGCCAATTGCAATTTGTGTACTATTTTGGTAATGCTAGAAATTATTGTAAATAGTGCTAGTAACATTAAGTGAATTTGTTGCAGATTGCAAATATTGTACTACTTTGGTAAAGCTCGAAAACATTTTGAATAATGCTCGTAGCATTAAGTTGTTATGTATATAATTCTGTCTTGTTGATTATTACTGGCAGTGTCCCTGAAGCCAGATCTCTTTGAGGGAATGCGCTTTGACTTTACCAAAGGACTCAATCAGAAGTTTTCTCTGAGCCATAGGTTAAATATATTTCCGTTCAATATTTTTCTTTATTTTGTGATATGGAGGTATTTGTTATACCTGACTGCTGAATGGTTTTGATATTTGTTCAGTTTGATGATGGGGCCGACAGAGATTCCATCTGTCATCTGAAACAATTAAAATCCCCACTGCTCAGTATGAGTTTGGTGCTAACTTTTTAGACCCTAAGGTGGCCACATTTTTTCACTAATTATTTTCATTTATAACGAATTTCTTTATTTGACCATCAAGGAGTTATCTGTTCTTTAGCAGTTAGTACTTATGGGGAGAGTGATGACAGACGGGAGATTAACTGCAAGAATGAAGTGTGATTTGACTGATAATCTTGCTCTGAGGGCCAATGCTCAAGTAGGAATACACATGTCATGGAAGTTCTACAAAAGACAATTATCTAAAAGCTATTACAATATTATTGGTTCAGACACGAAATTTAACAGCTTCTCTTTTTCTGTAGCTTACAAATGAACCACATATGTCACAAGGCATGTTCAATTTTGATTATAAGGTAATTTTGTGTTATGTAGACTTGAAGATTTCTGCATGCATGTTTGTAAGTTTGTAACCAATACATTTTGCGCATTGCTCTGCATGAGATCTGATGCTTTTAATGGAATGAAGTCTCTGCATTGGGTTGATATTAATAGCATGCACTGTATGAATATTTACAGGGATCAGACTATAGGACTCAGTTTCAACTAGGAAATGGTGCTTTACTTGGTGCAAGTTACATCCAGGTGAGTGATCTAATACTTATTTCAAATACATTTACGTAAAATGAGAACCTTAAATTAATTATATTCTATCAAATGGCAAACAGTTGATAATTTTCAAGTCCCAGAATGGTATCTTAATGATTCAATTATCTTGATGTTTTGGTTGAGTTCATAGTTCGAGTACTTTTGACCTTTTCTCTTCCTGGTGGATATCATTCTGTGCCTTATACAAGTAATAATCCTGAAAATTCCAGTTTTATAATTTTGAAAGGTAATCACCTTGTCTGTTTTATTCAGTTTACAAAATTTCTGTCTCTTCCTAGGTTGATGAATAGTTTGACTTAATCCAGAAAATCAGAAATGGCGAGTTTCCTGTGATGAGAAAAAGTTGTATGCTTAATGGTTAATAAATTGATGAAAAAAATTAACTCATTAAAATCCAGATAGGTGTAGAAAAAGATGTATGGATAGTAGCACCGTGGACATCCACTTTGAAATGTTCTTATTCAACGTAACAAGCTTGGGTGTTATCTTTTACCCATCAAGGCAGCCAGACCAAGTAAAATCCAAGAGACAGCACGTTCTTGTTCATTCTTGCTATCTATGTAGTTCTATTGAAAATGCAGGGTTATTAAGATTCCATTACGTAGCAGTCTAGAAATGGACATATGGTTTTCCACTTTTCCTCAAATATCTCTAGCTATATTGCACTAGTAAATTACAAGAGTAGATCTTATGGGACCCTATGCTTGCAAAGAGTCATCATAGTGAATTAATGGTTGTGAAACACTGTATTATCTTTTTGGTGTATCCAGTTAATTTCTTTATGTGCACCCAGAAAAATGAAGATGTTGCCTTGATAATGGGTCGAGGATCACGAGCATCACCTGACAAAAAAGAAATTTTCCTAAAGTGGGTATCAGTATTTGTCAGTTGCTAAAATTTTAGATCGAGCATGTCAACCTTATGAACAAGTGTCTGCTATTCACTTCATGTCTCATTATCCTGATGCATTTTTCACTTGTGGTTTGCATTTAATGACAAGTACCCTTTTATTACTTTTTGGACAATGTAGTTCCTTCTTGTAGATACTACTAGCATGGTCTTTATTTATTTATTTATTTATTTATAAGTACCTTTCGTTACTTCTTGGACAATGTAGAATCTTCTTGTAGATACTATTTCCATTTCTTACAAGATTGTTTCTTTGACTCTAATTAGGTAACACCAACTTGATCACGGTGCAAAATTTAGTCTATATTTTTCTGGTTGGTTAAGTTTTTAAAATTCTTCACATATTGGCATTATTTTTCCTTCATCCATGTAAATCACTATTTTTTGGTTGTTTGCCAATTAATATTTTAAGCTCAGATCAGCCGTTCATATGAAGTAAAGTAACTATTCACCCAACGACAAATCTCGTCACCCTTTCGGTGGCTATCTGTTGTGTTGATGAATTTGAACTTGAAAAAAACCAAATGGATCTTTGCAGTTTGTACTAGTAACTGATTGCATTTATTTATTTTTACAGAGTGTGACTCCTCATTTGTCATTGGGTGGTGAAATATTCTGGGCTGGTCAACATCGGAAATCTGGCCTCGGTTATGCTGCTCGTTACAGCACTGACAAGATGGTACTTCTCTCCGGAAAGTTATTTATTTGTTGATTTAAGTACAATATACTTTCCCTGCAAAATTTTCTTTCTACTGCAGATGTATCAATTTGGAGTTTTTTTGATAAGAAATACGTAATGTAGGGTTTATGTACGGAATTAGTTGCTAATGAATAGTCTTTCCAGCATATTAAGATCTTGTTAGAAGTGATGAAGTAGAGCCGTACTGTGCATTGACATTTAATTAATTGTGTTATTGTGCGTTTTGTTCTTTATATGGCCGAGCTATATATCCTTGGCACTTGATAGGTTAACTGAACCCAGATGTGCATGATAGCTCATGTAATCGTGTCATGCTAAACATTAATGTTTCTTTCCAAATGTATCATGTTATTTTTTTATTTTGTTTATTGTAAGTTATATTTTCGATGGGAGTGCATGTTTATGAATGCTCTAGTCGTGCATTTAATATTTTGATTTGAAAGCAAGTCCATTTAATCCACACCATCAGATATAATACCCAGTTGTTTTTAGTACAGGTTGCAGCCGGTCAAGTTGCTAGCACTGGTATGGTTGCACTAAGCTGTGTTCAAAAAGTGTCTGAAAAGGTAAACTAATTTCTAATTCGTCATTTTTTATGATTTATTTTCTTTTTCCTTTTTCCTTATGCTTTTTTATTCTATATATATATATATATATATATATTTTACTTTTGTCAACTAATAGGATATTTTTTAATGTATAGGTTTCTCTAGCATCAGATTTTATGTACAACGCAATGTCTAGAGATGTCACGACCAGCTTTGGATATGATTATATACTACGCCAGGTAATTTCTGTTTGCATAACTTAGAGTTTTCGTGCAGTCTCCTGATTTGTCTCGCAAATTGTTGACTTATTATGCAAAGAATTAATTGTCATATAGATCCATTAAATTTTAATCGATCTGTTCTAGACATGTAATTTCTTACTTGTGAATTGTGATTATTCACATGGATAATATCTGATGCTTTGGTACTATGTGGTTAACTGTTCGATATCTCACTTCTGAGTGACTACATTTATAACTATATTCTACGTGTGACGCTTCTTTTGGCGCGGTAAATGAAGTGTTAATGGAGATTTAACTTATTATAAAAGGGTCATACTGAACAATAATCTTTCCTCCCAATTTATTTGCTTGGGTTTGACAAATAATCACACCTTATCCTGAGTGTTTTCTGGTGTATTTTCAGTGTCAATTACGAGGAAAGATAGATTCGAACGGTGTTGTGGCTGCTTTTCTGGAGGAGCGTTTTAATATGGGACTCAATTTTATTCTTTCGGCTGAGGTTAGGACGAATAACATAACTAATGCTTTTAGTATCCTGCTCGTATTTTTTCTTCTTGTAATTACTGTATCTTTGCAGATAGATCATAAGAAGAAGGATTACAAGTTTGGATTTGGACTGACAGTCGGAGAATAGAACTAGACGAGCTTTCAATTGGTGTTTCCATTTCAGCTGGTTGTTGCAAACATCGTGTGGGTTCGTTAGATTTTTCTCATCGTTTGATTTCTTGTATCTGCCCAACGACAGTACTCGTATATACGAGAATCAGATTGGTTTTTAGTAGTAAATTTTGCAGGTTTGGTGGGATCTTTGATCGATTCTCCAAAATGCGTGTACCTTTCCTTACATTTCATCGGTTGGTTCGATTATTTTTGTGTTTTTTGAGATAATAATTACTCATTTCCAAATCAGCATGGAGAAGGAGAAAATGTGTTCTCTATTGTCTAATTGTTATTTTTGGAAACTTTTTTTTTTCAATGTTTTGGTGATGGCTATCCTATTTGCATATGATTTATGAAGATTGAAGAGTGTATTTGGTAAGCATTATAAATTAGTTCGTAGTTTATTTAATTAGCTTATAAACTTTTGTTGTTCAAATAAGTTTGGTAGGATTATTTTTTTAGAAAATTCGACCATATCTCAACAGTTCCTAGTAAGCATATTAATATGTTTATTTTAGTTAATTAATTAGTTAATTTTATTTAACAATTTTATTATATTTGGTAGTTTTCAGTCATAATTTATCATAATTTATCAGCTATTAATTAATTTATTGCTAGTAGATTTATCAAATATTTCCAAAGTAGATACACAACATTTTGTTTTGGTGTACTT